GCGCTCCTCAGACCGCGCCCAACTTTGCGGGGCCCGCGGGGGCGGCGGCGCGCGGGCGGCGGCGGTCGCTGTGCGCCGAGGCAGCGGCGTCTCATTGCCAGGTAATGAATATTTCAGCGCGAGCGAAACTGCCCCGGGCGGATGTCATGGCAGTTGCTGCTTTGGTGACTGCCAATCCCCCAAAGAGGAGCGGGGGAGGGACGGGCCAGGCTTGGCGCAGGCGGCTGCCCTGCCCTGCGCTCCCCAACGCGCAGCCCGCCGCCTTTTACCTTCCCGACGCTCCGGGCTGGCTCTGCCTTCAATTTCGGTTGTGCCGCGGCCGCCGGCTGGAGGAGGCGGCTCCCGCCCGCCCTTCCTCTGCCTTCAAGCGCCTCCTCTCTGCTCCGCGAGCCGAGCCGAGCCGGCAGCCCTGCGCCCGAGGCGGGCCCCAGGCTGGGCCGGAGCGCACCGGGTGCCGTGCTGCTCCCAGGCGCGCAGTTGCACAAAGCTGCGCCCTTCCCCCCCACCCTCCGCCCTTCCCCGCGGGCCGGCATCTCTCTTCAGGGCGGCGCGCTCCCGCTCAACTGGCGAAGTCACTTATATGCCTGAGGGACATACTCAGAGTCCCCCCCGGCCCTTGATTTTTAACCGCATACGTCCTCACCTAGCCTCATCTCCTGTTTTCTTTTCCCTTCTTAACCTATCTGAAGAGACGCTTCTCTGCTGTGGAGAACTTGTAAAGAAGCCAGGAGGCAATAACTTCTGTGGGTGATTCATCTTTTCTTGGACCGCCTGCCTGGTAGGGCTAGACAAGCTTTCAGGTGTCCCAGTCTGTCCCAACCACTACAAGAGATCACCCACAAGAATTCTTGCCTCTCACCTGTTTCCGGGGCCATCACAGCAACATTCCCTCACTACTACTCAAGCATCCAAAATATTCTTTAAAAAAGTTACTAGCATTAGCCTCAAGCTGATCACTTAGTATGAAAAGCTGCAGAGATTGTTTAGTCAGCAGCATAAACTGCCTTAGACAAAGTCAATGCCACCAGCTTCCCATAATTCTGAACTAGTAATTGTGCACATACATAACCTTCTGCTTGGCCTTTCTGTTATTAGCTGTTTACATCTTACTTTACAGCCTCAGTACTCGAAGCAAATGAAAGTGGACATGGTGACTTGACAGACAAATCCTACCCAAACATGAAATATCAGGCATCAGTGTCAGTTAACAAAGTGGCATGCTATGGTGCTGCTTCTATCTTCCTTGCTCTCCAGTGCTCAAGACTGCAATGCCTTTTCCCTGCTTTGTGACAGGCTCCTATTTCTATTTTTCCTATTGTCGGCTACTCCACACACGTGTGTAACAGGTCTGTGCATTATTCACTTAGCTGCACAACAGTGCCACTCCCAATTTGGTGCCTATGCTTTACATTGCAGCAAAGGTTGACTGTCTGTAAGCGGATTAAGTACACAGGTTAAGCGCACAGCTTCTTTGAGCCCCACTGTCTACTTTGTAACTAATTGCATTCTGGTTAACAAAACCAGAAACAGGGAAGGGGAAGCAGCTGTCAAGGGACTGCTATTAGAAGCCTTGACAATGACACTAAATAGCTAATAAGTTTACGGCTGCCATCTCCCCTTATTTTTAAGACTTCTAATAGCAGCCCTTAAACTGTCAGAAGTCTCAAAAAAATCAGAGGAACAAGTGAGTATCAGGGTTGATAACACCGTGGCACTAATAGCACTGTAAACCAGTGGCTCTCAACCTTTTTTGTACCCAGACCGATTTGTAAACATCAATGCCCAGTTCCAACCCAGTGCCCCTCACTCCTGACTGTCTACCCCCACACTCCAGTGTGTGGGGCAGGGGGTGGTTGTGTGGTGTGGGGAGATGTGGAGCTGGGGGGGGGCAAGCAGCCCAGAACTTTAGCAGCCTACAAGGGAAAAGCCTTGGTTTCCTACATTTTTCTCCTTTAAAGAAGAATCCATTTTTAAAGTCTGCTCAAGACCGTTTCATATATTCTTGCAGCCCACTTTTGGGTCGCAACGCATGGGCTGAGAAACACTGCTGCGAACAGTGCTGGATAAATACACGGTTTGGGTAAGTGCGTAGCCTTTTTTAGCCCCAATGGAGTATGCTGTATTTATGATTTCCAGGAAGGAAAGGGCAATTAAGCCTTCCCTGTACCTATAGATGCCCAAGTGGAAAAGTGGTTCCCTGAAAAGCATGAAATTGTCTATACAAATAATGTAGAAAAATCTAGCTTTCTATTTAATAGCAGATGACAGGTGCTAAGCAGCATCCAAACACAGACATTCTGAGTGCCATGAAACACAGAGAAAACCACCTCAGTGCATTCTCTTGCAATGACAATGAGAAGATGAGCGGATAGTGTTTGCCTTGTTTACAAATCAGGCCAAATTTAGGAGCAAAGCAACTGGGTGATGACTATATGGAGATCAAAGTGGTATAGCACTCACAGGTGCAGTTAATTGTTTCCCTGTTGTTGCTAGTCACTACTGTCCTTTTGCATTTAAGAGAGCTACAGTTAGCTGTCATGTCCTTTCACCCCACTACACCTTATAAACTTGAGAGTGAATTGCAGTATTTCTACAACTGAGGAGGTTATAATCCACCCCAGGAGGGGACAGCATTGAACAACTTTCCCCACATAGCTCTGCCAATACCCCTCCACCCTAATTCACAGCAGCCCTGCTATTTCAGACCTGGCCTACCCACAATGCTGTATTGTACTCCAGTACTGAACTCTCACATCATAGTCCTAAAGTATGTCGGCCTAGGAGTCAGACTTCAGCACTGAGTTTCTTTGCAGTAGAGATTGACTGATCCACCCATTTGACTAGTTCTTCTGACATACCAGTGTTGTGAAAGCAAACCTCCTGCTTTGAGAACACCTTTGCATGAGTGGCACCTGAGGATTATTAGATTATTAGGGCCAGGTAGCCTGATTAAGCTTAGGCCTCTTCTGAACAAGGGCAGGCAATTATATCATCATCTAACTGTGGGGTGCTTATTGATTTGGAGAGGAGGAACATCTACTGTAGACTAAAAGGAGGTTAGCAATGCCATGTTACCTGTGAACAATCTGAACTCCAAGGGGAAAGGTTAACACCTTAATTTGCTGTTCTAGGGAGATTTCTAGTCAAGCATTCTGAATAGCCTTGCTCTTCAAAACTGCAAAATGATGGTGCATCAAAAATAAAGTAATTTTTAATTGCACCTAAATTCACTATCCAGTTTTATTTTGGTAAAAGGGAGAACAAGGCCCAGTAAGAGATATCACATAGGAGTTTGCATGATACTAATAACTTCCACAAACTGCTCTGGTGTAAAGCATCAGAGGTAATACAGTTGTTAGACCATCTGTGACTACAAAAGCTTTGCAGCAGTCTCTCAGCCACACTACATGTTGACATGTGTGCAGTGCCTGCACCACTAAAGGAAATAGCACAAGTCATTGTTTCTAATGGCCTCAGGTTAATCTGCCTCTCTGCTGTGATGCAGCTGTTGGCTCTGCAGGTTCTTGAAGGCTCAGATGCCATGGCCAGTGTTTCTAGTACAGCTGAAGGAGAAGTAAACACTTCAAACAGGAGTCTACATGAACCTTCTGCTTTAGGGCTGCTGAGTAAAGTGTGATACATTAAAGCAAACCCCCATATACATTTTCTCTAAGCCTTTCTCTGTTACCAAACATATTAGACTTCCATTTATGAAACCTGCATTTTAAACACCCTCCTAAGAGCAGCTGTTGACAACTAGAAAGCTCTTCACTGCATACTTAATAAGGAGTGATGATAGAGTTGGCTCATCCAGTCCAGCTCCCTGTCCTACCCATCCCCTGCAGTGAACCTTTTAAGGTTATTTAATCTTTGCAATGAATCCCAGGTCACTTGTTTCAGGTTTTAAATATTTGCAATATTGGACATAGCAAATTTTGCTTCAGAAGCAACTCCATAAAAATCACTCCTAGAAGTAGATATGGGAGCATTTGAGAAATGGAGTAGGGCAGAGGTTGTCCCCTGTGCCCTAGGAGGTGGGCATTTTATGATGATGGAGATCATGTTTCATATTCTAAAGAGCACCCACTCTCCCAACATCCTCTTTCTGTAATTATGGCCACTTTGGAGCACAAAACATAGCATTGCAGGAAATAGACCATCCGCTCATGCATACTAGTAGAAGGGAATGTATTGTTGCTGAAGATTATAAATGTGCACTACAAGGGGGAGGATGTGATTTATCATAGAAACACTGCCCACCTTAGACTGAAATAACATTATGACGTTAAGTTCTCATTTGGAGTCCGGCAGGTGGAGTCCTGTGCTGCAGGAGCAGCAGTGCTGTAAAGTGGTCACTCAAAACCTCTATCAGTGTTAAGCTCTGAGAGCAGAATCCATTACCTGTTACTGTTGGAGATTCTGATTGTAAGTGGGGCCAGCCCCACTGAGATCAGAGGGATGTTTAGCTCACCTGCAGTAAACTGAAATGCTGTCTAATAATGGATAGATGAGGGTCAGAAAGTTCCAGCTCATGCTTATGTTAATCATGCCTCTTCCTGAGGCTTTCATATGTTGATAGCTTTCTCCCATCCTGACCTCTTTAGGGCAGGTCTAGTTCTTTTTTTGCCTCCCTCCCCCCCAATGACATGAGACAAATGCTTTTGGGATATGCAAGTAAATAGTAAAAATAGACTCCAGCCCCATCCATTAAACACCAGAAAATTATTAGGGTACAAAACAGGAGAGAACCAAAATAAGGAATTTCAATTCAAAGCTATTTAGAGATAAGTCTCAGGACTGGCCATTTGCAGTTACTCTCACCTCTCATAGCTGATGGCTCACTTAATGACTTCATGATAAATTCAGGTCAGTGTTTCTATTTAAATAAGGTGCAGTTCTCTTATATTTAATCATCATCATTCCCTCCAGTTTATATCATACAGCTTCACAAAACACCATTCAGCATATAACCTTGGCTGATTTGTTTTATATTACATATGGATTTGGAGATTGTGGTCTGTTTTAAAGAAGTCAGCAGGTCTTTCTGTAGCATCCTTCTAAGTAACAGTACTATTATATGACTAATTATCATGTCACACCCAGTGCTTCCTTAGTTTGGGCTGCAACAACCTTCCTACTGCTAAGCCAGTCAAACATGGAGACTTTAAGTCATTGAAGTGCATAAAAGCTCTAAACAATTACTATCAGTGTAGCCAAGATGGTCACAGGGACTTGCACTGAAGCAGTTTTGCACATTTCAGTTCAGGGCTGATGAGGGATATAAGTCTTAAAAGTGGATGAAGTATTTGTGAAAGAAGTATAGGTTGGATGAATGGACTGTAAGATGAATAGAAAACTGACTGGAGCATCAGGCTCGGGGTAATAATCAATGCCTTGATGTCTAGCTGGCAGATGATATGAAGTGAAGTGCCCCAGGGGTCAGTTTTGGGGCCTGTTTTGTTCAATATCTTTATCAGCCTGGAAGATGGGTTGGAATGCACCCTCGGGCAAGTTTGCAGATGACACCACACTGTGAGGAGTGGCAGATACGCTGGAGGGTAGGGCTAGGATTCAGAGTGACCTAGACAAATCGGAGGATTGGGCCAAAAGAAAATTCATGAGGTTCAACAAGGACAAGCGTGAAGTCCTGCACTTAGGATAGAACAATCCCATGCATCAGAACAGGCTGGGGACTGACTGGATGGACAGCAGCTCTGCAGAAAAGGACCTGGATGTTACAGTGGGCAATAAGCTAAATATGGGCCAACAATGTGCACTTGTTGCCAATAAGGCTAACGGCATACCAGGCTACATTGGTAGGAGAGTTGCCAGCAAGTCAAGTGAAGTGATTATTCCCCTCTATTCAGCACTGGTGAGGCCACATCTGGAGTATTGTGTTCAGTTTTGGGCCCCCCACTACAGAAAGTATGTGAACAAATTGGAGAGAGCCCAGCAGAGGGCAACAAAAATGGTGAGGGGGCTGGGGGACATGACTTCTGAGGAAAGAATGAGGGAACTGGGCTTATTTAGTTTGCAGAAGAAAAGACTGAGAGGGGATTCAATAGCAGCCTTCAGCTACCTGAAGGGGGGGGGGGGGTTGAAAGAGAATGGAACTAGACTGTTCTCAGTGGTGGCAGATGACAGAACAAGGAACAATGGTCTCAAGTTGCAGCAATGGAAGTTTAGGTTAGATATTAGGAAGAATTTTCTCACTAGGAGAGTTGTAAAACACTGGAAGAAGTTACTCAGAGAGGTTGTCCCATGATGCAGAAAGAAAGATGAGAAGTCATAAT